TCAGCTTGGAGCCTGTTTGAGTAGGTGGTGTAGAGGGCCTCCAGTTTCAGTCGGTCCTAGAACTCCTCCTCCCAAGCGTGACTTCTGCACCCAGTATGTTCAGACTGATGATAATGGCCTAGAAGGAGTCTTAGAACTGGGGGAGCCTGATCCAATGCCGGTGCAGTCCGATGGAAACCAGTGGCATATGAGCGAAGAGGACCATGTCTGGCTTTTAGCGCTTCATGAGCAGATGTACCGAGCAAGCAATGTGGAACCTGAGGGGTTTGGCTCAAGGGCTAGTGGTTCTGTTGACTCGGGACCTGAGTTGAGAGCGCTGCTGGGGGTGGTAGATAGATCGGGCTCACCTGAAGTACGTTTTGTACCAAGGCCTGATGGAGTCGAGGTTGGTGAGACTTACATGCAGGGTTTAGGTCATGGGTTAGAGTATGTGCGCACGCCGTCGGAGATCCATCAGGAGATGCTGGCTCAGGCTAGAAATCCTACGGTACCAGGACCTCCAGGGTATGACATGCTAGATCATGGCGGTTTGGGTCAGCAACCTCGTCGTAATGATAGGTTAGTGTATGTCGATGATGAGGTGCCGCTTGATAGTGATCCAAGTGAGGATTCGTCGATTGGCGAGTGGACCACGGACTCAGGGATGCCTAGGGGACCTAGCGGAAGCAGTCGTAGCTCAGCAGGATCAGAAGGCAGTGGTCGAGGTTTGACCGGTGTATGTGTTGCAGCTTCTGTTACGTCGGCTACTGGGCACCGTTACTCTGAGGCGAACGCAGAGGGATCCTGGGAGATGTGGCTTATTTTGGGAATGATTGTGACTTGTAGTGTTCTTTTGGGTATAGGCTGCGCTTGGGGATGTTGGTTGAGAGGGCATGGGTTTGTCTGGATTAAAGGGGCTCAAGGGGAAGTGGCGAGAGAAGTTGTTCAGTCCGCTCAGGAAAAAACACCAGATCAGACTACGGTTTCATTGGCCCCGGTGGTCAATATCACTGTAACTGGGAGTCCAAGTACGGACCGAGGTAGTGGCAGTGGTGTTGAGATTGGGTTTGAAGGGGTGAGACGTAGGATTCAAGTTCCTGTTGATGAAGAGTTGAGTTGGGATACCTTGAGGGATGATGGCCATTCGTCTATGGGAAGGGGAAAAGGAGATCGAGGCGGGCCTTCGAAGAATCCGGTCAGCCGCAGTCTAGAGAGACATGGGTCTGCTAATGTAGGTCTGGGTAGTTCTCCTGAGCAGGGTCGGAGCTCAGAGCAGACAACGACTGGTAGTTCCCGAACCCTAGGACCCTGTGGTTTAGGACTCCGTGGTGACCGTAGGGTTGAAGAGCAGACGACGACCGGTAGTTCCCGAACCCTAGGACCCTGTGGTTTAGGACTCCGTAGTGACCGTAGGGTTGAAGAGCAGACGACTAGTGGAAGCTCCCGAACCCTAGGACCCTGTGGTTTAGATCCTGGTAGGTCAGCGGCGACAGAACACCCTTCGAGCAATGAGGTTACAGGGGCTGTGCCTGAGTTACCAAGGCGTATTGCCAGCGCTGGGGATTCTGTGAGGACTCCGGTTGATAGGTTTAGGCGACCTTGGGGGGTTAAGCAGAGGGTGATACTGAGTTGCGAGGCAGATGCCATCCCACCGTTGGTGTATCTGACGCAGAATGGGGACTGCTTGCACAGTGGACGCACATGCAGGCCAATGCAGTGCAGTGGAATGCCAATTCAAAGGAGTCTCTGTCGGTACTGCTTCCCTACAGGGCAGCTTCCATCCAGACGAGTGGCAGGGAGCAGCTCAGACCGTATGGTGTTTCTGACTAAATCAGGTCATTATGTGCACGAATCGGCTGCCTGCAGCTGCTTGGATCCTAACGAGGAAACGTTGACGCGAAAGTTGTGTCGATGTTGCAGATGGGACTACTGACATTGGACCACAGACTACTGCAGGATGATGGATCTCTCCATGGGGGAGTGAGCATGCGTCTGTGACCTGTGCTGAGGTGTGCTGTCGTATACGTCGAGGTGCCGGCTTCCTTTGTGGCTTAAGGGCTTAGGAACGGTGATCTCTTGGTCTAAGTTCCGGACATCCAACAGCATTAGATGCATAGGACACTTTCTGTACACCCCTGTCCAATAGAGCATCTTGTATAGCTTGCTAGGATGTTTCGTTACGTTCTGTTGTGCGTCTTGGTGAAAAAGAGGCGGTAAGTCCGTGAGGGCACTCATTTCCTGTCTCTTTCTGAAGAACACTCCCTATCTCCGTGACTTCGGTGGATGGTTTCGGAATAATCCCAAGCGGCAGAGGCAAGCCGGTTTTTAAGGTCCGCTACGGGTCTTCTTCTTCCCGGCTAGTCAACAACCCTTGCAAGAGCATGATGTTCCTCGGTAACATAGTTTGGGACAGAAATGGACAGAACGCGGCGGGCACACCGTCCATCTACGGTCGCAAAGACAAGTAGACTGACCACAAACAGCAATGGTACATGACCCTGACCTAATGTCCCAAGCCGCATACCAAGCTCTCCCAAAGCTCCTGATGACCTTGTGCAGCTCGGTGTAAAAGAGTCATCCTCAGCATCACGTTTGCCGCAATGCCATGTGGAGCTGCCACTGGCAGAATTGCTCGCAATGTTTGGTGTTTGCCTCTGTGCTTTGAGCACTAGCCACTTCCTTCAGTTAGGCAGCAAACAACTTGTTCAACATTTTCTGGCAGCAACTGACTGTAGCTTGACTAGGAACTGTGGGCATATGCCACCAGGACTCTGCTCGCTGTCCACCGCGTGAAAGTCTGCGCTGAAGTACTCCAGAAGCCTTGGACAACCCTTGCCGCAGAACCAGCTGTAGGTGCCCGCCTTAAACTATTGCCTTAAACCAGTCTAAATCTAAACTTATTGCCATCTGCGCGACATGCATCTCGACTGGAGCACACACAAGATGAACAATCACTAACACCAGCGAGGTCGGCAACATGCTCCGAGCGCACTGCTAGGCTTACATTTCGGTGCTCACGCATGGCTGGCTGTATACTTACTATAAACTATAAATGCCACCGTAGCATGCATGTGCCTGACATGAGGTGCCACAGCACCAAACATTTCGACAATGACTCAACGGATCTCAAAAGACTGCGAAGCTGTGAACTACAGGTAAGCACTGTCTGAAGAATTGGCTAATTTCTTCAAACCTCACTTCGTAAGCGCCACGCCTTGCCTGTGCCCAAGTATATACCAAAGGACATTTTGGAGACATGAGCAAATAACAACTAACGAACAGCTCGAAGAAGTGCGACTAAGTTCTGTACACCACAGATACACATAGATCCGGCAACCCTTCCCATGAGGGCCCGAGCCCGACCTAGGGTTGGACAAGACTATCTGGGCCCGTAACTGTAGGCTCGGCTCGTCACCTTTGTAGGCTGCCCAATGTAGGGCACCACAGCCCTGAGACGCGATGAGGTCGTAAGTATGCAGGGACACACATCCCCGACCCTCATGGCACGCTTATCTGGAACAGGGACAGGACGAAAGAAGTCCGAAGCTAGATGGCAAAGTCTGAGCTTCGTTTGGGACCTTTCCATGTTCCTGTTTCCATCGTCTTTCAATGATGCCAGCTTGGAGCTAGCTGATTACGATGAGAGCTCCATGCCAAAACGGACTGCATGCTTGCAAGGTATTCAGCATAGGAATCCAGATTGGAAGCCGTTATTATCTTCCATTTTCACGGCCAGGAAGACCGCAGCATAAAGCAGCCGTTGCACAGAAAGATTTTGAGCTAAGCGTTCCGGAGGTGTAGCCCTGCTCTTATGAAATTTGCCTGTATGCATGCAAAAGCATGTAGGAGAAAGAAAGAACGAAAGAAAGTAAGTACGTACGTATGTATGTATGCATGCTCATACCAATAGCAAGGACAACACAGCTCAAACAACAACGATGTACTCATGACAAGAAGAACTGTCAACAATTGGCAATACGATTCGTAGCAGCTGACTGCTGTAGCTCGGAACTTCCACTCTCCGATGCTCATGGCGATAATGGGGACGGCGCCGGCTCACACCCTTCATGGAAACTGCAGGCTGGTTTCGTCTCCTGTTGGATTCCGTTAACTCTTATTGGGGTCTGTGTGGCATTTTGGTTCTTCAGGGGACGTGTCGAGGTCCTACTGCCTCACTAGACATGGAAAACAAAAGGATGGCAAGCGTCAGAGCCTGGCTCCAGGATACTTCAAAGTCTACATGTTGCCGAAACCATGCTACCAGGAATCCCAATCCGATTCCAATAAGCATCAGGCCTTGCAGTCTTTAGACGCGAAGAGCTCCGAGTGCTTGCAAAGTGCCAAAAGTAGCAGCAGGACCTTGGGTGAAACTTAGCAGGCGGACATCGGAATCGGCACCCTCGGCAGAACTGCAGCCCGGTCAAAACGCAGCCCATCAGTCCAAACCCTCTGCCCCAGAGGCCAATCGGAGTCCAATCGAAAACCACCACTCGACAAGCTGAAAGCAGGCTAGTCGTGCTGTAGAGCGATTTTTGCCAAACAGAGAGTCTGGATGCCGCGGGAGCGACGCCAATCTGCGAATGCTGCACTGCGAGGATGAACGGCGAGGCACCCACGCTGTCCTCCAAGGTCAAACGCAAACAAAGTGAGCAGCACATGAAGGTCGCGGGGGCGCAACAAACATATAATGATGAGTGCGAGTTTAGCGATCAAGTAGCTCAGAAGCCTTTGGAGCTCAACCGACATTCGCTATGCTTAGATGACCGATCAACATTCGGAATTGAAGAGTCTTTGTAGTTCCATGCTTTGCAATGTACGGCAGAGAAGCTTCAGGAATTCCTTTGAAGATCTCTACTGAGTGCAATGTTTTCCTTGTGGGCGCGATGCCCAGCAAGAGAACGGATAATGACCTAATGAAGTCTAGTTCAACGCCTTTTCCAGCTGGGCCTTGATCGCTTAAGGCTTCGAAGCACAGGAAACCTCGATTCACGTCGGGTTCAGTCTTCGAGGTTGTTGAACCCTCAACCCACAGGTATGCCCCACCGGACTGCCTGAGCGTGGGGGTCTGCTTTGGCTTCAAGGAGGACTTTTGCAACCTGCCAGTGCCAGGGAGCTGTAGAGTTCGGGCTCCAGGGCTTACTATGGGACCCCTAAACCCTGAACCCCAACAGGGCTTAAGGTTCCGGAGCTGGACGGGTTTGATGCTTGGGTCTACTTGAAGCAGCCCTTTCTTGTGTTTAGGGTTCAGGGCGCGTAGGATTTCCCTCGGCCAGTAGTCAAAGCTGAAGTCTGGAGCCCGCAAATCCAAAACAAACGAATCATGGTGGCTCATTGTCACTTCCTTTGCTGTCCTGCATGCAACATGTAGACTCAATGTAGACAATAAGATGAAGTCGGAGTCTCTAAGAACTGTCGGGGCATAGGAGCCGTTGACAGCCCTGTGGGTGTTTGCAAATCTCAAAACAACACCGGCGGCGACAAGGACAAACGGCAGCAACAACCAACAAGCAGACAGCAACCGCCACCAGCGATGCCGGCACAAAGCCGCAACCTGCCACCACAACACCAAGCAGACCAGCCACGCAAACAACTGCAACGACAACCGCCACGACCACAAACACGAACACACAGGAGCAAGTCGAACCGCGAACAATTCTAAAGTAAACAAGCCCGCACACAAACATGCATCCGCAACAAAAGACAACTCTGAGGACCACGATACCTGCAACAGCGAAAGGCCGACACCACCGACAATGCGAGGAGCGGTAGCAGCTGTAACAACATTGACGACCACAACAAACACCGACTTCTTAGCCGCCAGTCCTGCGCTGCCGCAGCGCCGGCAACCACTCGTGCAGCAACACTTGCACACACACTGCAACCCACAACTTTCGAGAGACCTCCCACCTTGAGCTGCCCCCGCGTGGCTGCCCACATCAGTGGAGTTTGGAGGTTTTCAGAGCGGGCATCGACCTGGGCGAAATATTCAGGGATAAAGACTCAGGGCCCAGGCTGTAGGATGGCTTAGGAGCTAATGCTTAGGGTTCAGGATTTAGGGTGCATGCTCCGAGGGTCAGGGCTTCCAGGATAAAGGCCTGTAGGGCTCTGGGCTTAAGTTACACACGTATATACTAGCTACGTGCCTAACACCGACCTGCCTGCATGCCTGCCTTCTAGCTACCAACTTAGCTGCCTACCTGCCTCCTGCCTACCTACATACAGACAGAAATACATACCGACCGACGTACCTACCCACCTACCTGCCCACCTACCTGCACACCTGCCTAAATGTATGCATGCATACCTGCGTACATACATGCATTCAGGCACAGGCAGGCAGGCACAGGCAGGCAGGCAGGCAGGCAGGCAGGCAGGCAGGCAGGCAGGCAGGCAGGCAGGCAGGCAGGCAGACAGACAGACAGACACACAGACGGAAGGACAGACGGACACACATGCCTACTTAAACATATGAATACAAACACATGTACATCAAGGCCTACCCAAGTACAAGCACACATACATACATACATACATACATACATACATACATACATACATACATGCATGCATGCATGCATGCATACATACATACATACATACATACATTACATCTATCTGTCGATACTTCTGCGTTCAATATAAGTGGTGAAAATAATCATCATAATGAGCGCGTAAACATAATAATGATAAGAAGAAGCAGCAGAATTGCAGAATATTGATAAAGCCAAAGGCCTCAACTACACGCACAGGCACACACCAAGTAAGCTGCTATAATCTATGCATCTGTCAAGGCCTTGTTGGTATACATGCCTGTGCATACAGACATGCACAAGCAACGTTCAAAAGACAGGCAGAGGGAGAGAGCGAGAGAGCCGTGCACAAGCATGTACGTATCCATATGGAATGTGCATGTACTTACACGTAAATACACGAACGCATGCAAACATAATTTCATACTTACTTGCATACATGCATAAATATATACTTCTATACTTGCATACATGCATACATACATACATACGTACATACATACATACATGCATGCATACATACATACATACACACGTACGTACATACATGCATACACACATACATACATACATACATACATACATACATGCATACATACATACACCCTATGCCCACGTACATAAAAATATGCATGCATGAGTGCATGCAGGAATGCGTGCATACATACGTTTGCACATGCACACATGCACACGCACTACGTGCGTATGTACGAACATGCATACATACATACAGGCAGACAGACAGACACACAGACAAACATCTGTGTGTATGTCTGTATTTATATACCCATATACATGTATACATACACACCATAATATATATATATATATGTATATATATATACTTTATATATATATATATATCTGTATCTACAAGCCATATATATATATATATATACTGCTATATACATACGACTTAAACAGACATACAAACAGACTCATCTCCAAATCGCGACAGATCGCCTGTGCCTATGGAAACCTGAGCATCGCCGTCTCTAAACTGGCCCTGGCCTCCAGACCGAAGTACAGCGCTTCTTGCGCCAACTCCAGGTTTCCGAACCTCGCACCCCCGAGTACTTGTACAGGACCATGGGGTATGCAGAGTCTGCTAGCCGAAGAGGCTTCGACTGCTTTGCTGGTTCTTCTGCAACTGCCTCCTATAATGTGTGGACTGCTTCATGTCACCTTCGCGGGACTGGAGTTGGACTCATCGAAAAACGTTTGCAGCTCCTGCCTTGGATAACTTAGCAACTCTGCGAACATGCTGGACAGAATGTCGGAGAAACCTGGCAATGTCCCCGTGTTCCGTTGAATCTTCCTGCACAGTGTCCAGCCTATAACGTGGTATGAACATTGAGCTATAAATCCCAAACATGACAGAGTGTATCAATGTGTATTTCACTATCGAACACTACTGACTTACAATGCAGAATACGGTCGCATATATTGTTTAGAGCGGATATAGACACACATCAGCGACGTCTAAGGTTGGAGCAACGCCGCCCAGTGGAGAACGCTGTGCCCTCCCTGCTATCAACATTTGGGATGGGGCGCAGTTGCCAAACCATCATAGCTACTACAGTCAGTGGCAGAGCTCCACATGTAAAGATCGGCCATATCTTGTGGCATGTGCGAGAGCGAAATCAACATAGACGTCTCTTGGGCAGCAACATGCACCTTCTCTTACCCACTTCAGTGATGCGAGGACTTCAAAGTATGCACCCTTCGGGGTGATCCAAACGTAAATTGGCTGCCGCACCTCCGCTTCTCTTTGCGTCCACAACTCCGGCGACACCCGCAGCGTTGTGATCGCCTCACGATGGGCATGCGCTTGGCTGATCGCAGCCAATTCATACTGCAACTGTAACAATATTATCAAACGGTAGGAACGACGTCAATACACTGCCAAGACAGTCGGCAGTCCGAACATGGGTTTACGTGTCGAGGCCAAACTGCGCGAAGCTCTGGAATTGTCGCAACTGTCTGGAAACAAACCAGTGGTGCAGAAATGAACCGGGGCATCGATATCTTGTAGCTACTGTGCCGAAATGCATCTATAGGGCGCATAGTAGCATAGAGCTTAGATGCACAGCAGTAGCGGTGCGGTCATTTCACCTGTGATGCGTTGTCAGTGTGAGTCCCTGATGTTGTGGAGAAGGCACTCAGTCTCTCCGAAGCCTTTCAGGACTTAGGGTCTAGGGTTCGGGGGTTTAGGGTTTTAGGGTTTAGGGCCATTCCCTCAAGTATGCATGTGCGACAAACCTCGAGCGCTTAGGCTTTAGGTTCTGGATCGAGGAATCAACTGTCTTGGCTTCAATTTGCAAAGCCTGTCCCAGGGTGGCTTGGGCCTTGAATCCCGGGGTACATACCACATCCTCAAACTTCCTATCGGCACCAGGCCTCATCAAAACTTCCTGCGCGAAGAAGGCTGAAAATCGCCTGCTGGTCATGCCAATGTCAAGCTGAGGGGCTGGGGTCGGAGTTCCTCTGTAAGATGCTATGAAACTGAAGGCGTGGTGCGTTATGGTCCACAGTCGACTTCACTGTCTTCCAACCTCGTGCCATGATGCCATAATTCCACGTGGTTACTCGACCTTGCAAGTTTACGTACGTGTTGACGTCATTGTCTGCTTGCAGGCCCTTTCTGCAGAATTTGTTCTGCCTTGAAAGCGTGTCGTTCTGTAACGCCCAAGTCCACACAGCCCTGACATGCCTTGACCCATGAGCCGTACAAGCCCATGATATCTACCTGCACCCTAGAGAGAGAAAGAGACAAAGAGAGAACAGAGAAAGCGAAAAAGAAAGAGACAGAGAGAAATGAAGCAACAACCAACGCATCATTGACAATAAAACAATGCATACAGAACTACACTCCCGTTAGCCAGTGAAACAGGATTGAGACATACCCTGTATGATGGCCCATGTGCCGAAAGGAAACAGTACTCAACACCTGCTCCGTACCAGAGATGATGTTCTGCTCGAGAGCACGGATAAAGAAAGGTGCGTGAATCCTGAGAGCCCGCAATCCAGGACGTACCTCTGGACAGTGTAACCACCTCAAGCTCTATGGATCGGTCCGGTGCGAGAAGTGGGACTTTCCGATAATTAGGGGTACCTTACTTTGGGGTCCTTATAATAAGGATCCTATTATTTAAGGGTACTATATTAGGGCCCCCTATTTTCGGAAACCCCCAAGTAGCTAGCAACCCGACAGTCCATAATCCGCAGCTGTCCTTCACTCCGATCTGCCGGACGAGCGGGGGTCTGATCCGAGCCTTCTACGGGTCGCACATGGTCGTGAGACCGGGCTTCGGTCCACCGAGGGGGCTGCAGATGCTTGTCAGGCTCATGACATCTGAGATCGGTTTAGGGTCAAGGAACCCAAGGTTCTAAGGAAGGCAAACAAATATTCACGAGCATCGGTGGGTCTGATCCACCATCGCCCCTCGTTTAAAGGGTTTCCAAAGGTCTGGTGAGTCCTATAACGAGCAAATTTTCGACCGTGGAGCATGTAGAAATGACACAGTTCCGGCTGCGGTCCATCACTTTGAAAAATCTCGACCTCCAGTCAAAGAGGACCGCGGCCACGCCAGAGTCCGGCTGCACTCTCAGGCTGCCCGCAACACAATGTGACTTTTAGAGTCTCGACTGTAATCGCAGAGGGCTGCTACATGATATGAATTCTGGATGGTGGAAACATCAAACTCAACTCTAGGATGCTTGGAGCCTGGCACTTGGAAACTGCGCCCATGCTCTCAGAGATACCTTGATGACCAAGATTAGACTTGGCTAAATGTGGTAACACGTAAAGCAATTTTGTGGGCCTGCATGGGTGCCCGACCAGTGCAGGAAGGGCATAGTTGTACAGTAGAACATACTATAGCATACTTTACTATAAGAATATACCGACATTCAATATACTATATTCTGAGCTGGATTCCATGCCGCATGACACCTGCTGGACCTTACAGCACAGCCAACACCAAGACCTCCGAACTTCCAAGGTGCACTGAAACACCGATCAAGGACACCACGGCGGCATACAGAACTCCCAGAAAATCAGCAAGGATCTGTCGTACACTATGGAGAACGTTCATCGAACATCATAGAACAGTGCTGACTTGATTTAGTTTCACGAAGAACTGTTAATTCGGGCAGCGAGGTACATCTCAATGGATGCTTCACTTGCGACGCGGGGCACCCTTGCTGGCCGAGACAGCGAACGACACGGCGGCTTGGCTTGCAGGTAATCGCCCCGCGGCAAAGATCTCGCAGGGACTGGGGACAGAACTCGGGGCATGCAATTGCTCCTCTTCTGCATTCGGAGCCACCGATCCTGCAAGACGGCCACCTGGATGGATGCCCACTTCATCCTCCCAAATGATGAACGTAAGACACAAATAACTTCTCTGGTGTGCATGCACGGCTTAACCGCCTGACGGAAGCCTTTCTGCGCTGTTTAACCAAAAGTTGTGACCACCTGCGGGGTGTATGCGTCCGCAGCATTAATGATGCACTCGCAACTTCCCTTGAGCCGCGAGAACGCAAGCTACTGCATCACCTCCAACATCCGAGCATGCACCTAAGCAGCACACTGCAAGACTGGCTTCGTTTCGAGTTTAGCAGCCTCTAAAACACACAGGCAATCTGGTCGAAAGTGCTTAGATCCATTCTTCCTCGCCAACCACTCTACGGGCAGTAGGTGCTACCGGAAGCACAGCATGTCGGTCTAGTACTGTCGTAGCCACAGTCCCTAAATCGCGACGCGCACCCTCATGCGAAAGTTTGATTCGGATACGTGGCATGACCTTCTCGCTTTCGACAAGGACAAGAACGGCCCAGCATAGTGCTTCAATAACAATCATCGTTAGCTGCTTGGGTGCATGCTGCTGAGGTCACAAGCACCAAAAACACGATCGCAAGCAAGTGGATAATCTCCTTCGCGGCAATCTTGCACCCTGACGTAGACCATCATGCTCGGACTAAACATCCCGTTGGCTCAAGACAGGCAGATAAGCTTTTTCATACAGTAGCTGGCTGAGTGAAAGAAGCAGTCTGCCAGTCCGTCTGCACTGCCTTTAATCTACAAGCCATCCACTTGCTTGCTCGCAAACAGAAAGATTGGCGATGTGCCACAGCTGCGTGCCGAAAAGATTGGACCAAGCCCGGGGCTACTCACGAATGCCAAATGCCAGGATACTGTCGCAGCTCGTTTTATGAAGATCACACCCTGAAGGTTATACCGCAAGGGGAAATGTGATCTGTTCCCGTGACGTTGACCTCGCGGTCTGCAAGCCATTTGAGATGTTCGGCGGTTGCGCAGGTGCAGTTCGAAATACTAGTATGAGGCTCAACGGCAGCCTTGGTTGCGGCACCGAAATGGCACCAGCACAGTTCATGAAATGGCCCAAACGACCGGTTTTCGCAAAATGTGCTGCGCACTACCGCGGCGAAATCCAATAAGGCCGGCTCGAGTTTCGCCCTGAAAACGCAGTCCTGCCGAAGGCCTGGGAGCTGTTGCGGTTGGGTCTCCCGGAACGTGGAACTTGAGGCGATGCATCGCGTGGTGGGTCTTGCATCTCGGGCAAAGAAGGGAAAAACATTATTTGCCGGGTAGGCCTCCCGGTCACATGCTGCAACTGCGGTTCGAAAACGGCTGTGGTTGCAGATGCTTCCGGTCGCGCATAATTCCTTCTACGGTGCACGAGGTCCACTCCAATGAAACGGACGGTGCGTTCAACGTCGAGTCAATGCTTCGCAAGTCACACCGGCAGCCAGCCGACTGCAAGATGAAGCTCCACAAGACACTCCTTCCACCCCACATCCCGAAACCCCAAAACCATACATCCGATACAAGATCTCAAGGCATCCGACCCTGGATCCCAAAACTGCGAAATGGTCCAATAGCTTAGCTTTAATCCTTCACGTTTTGCCCCGACATCTCAATGTCCACTTCCGTAAGCACGCAGCTCTGGTATCAAACGGTGGCTCGGCAGACAAGAACCCAAGGTGTAAGGTACTACCTGGGAATTGTCCTGCGTCCTTGTGACGGAAAATCTT